AACAGGGCCTCCCCGGTGGCGCAGCGGTTGAGTGCTGGGTTGTGAAGCTGCCCGCAGCCTGTGCGGCGCCGGTTCGATCCCTGGCTGCTCTCCGGCCACCGGAGGAGGGTCCCGCATGGCGTGCAGACCTCCTCTGCCGCTCACTGCTCCCCTCAGCAGTGTACTTTGGTCCTTCTGCCTGCTCTGCTCCCCGCTCTGGCTCTGGTGAATTCTCTCACCCTCCTGCACTTCTGACTGTACCCAGTGCTTGTATAAATAAATAAATAAATAAATCTTAAAAATATATATACACAAATAAATTCTCATTGGCAGACCACATTAATTTTTATGTTTATCCAGATAAAGGGCACATATAATTGGGAAGGAGAAAGGAACGTGTCTGCATCTCACCTTAATCACTTGCAGAATGACTCTGTATGTTACAAAACTTCTCTGAGCTTGGTTAAAATGCATAAATAAATAAAATCTTTTAAAAAAAAAAGGAATGGTCTCTAAGTTAATTCACAAAATAAAGTAATAATACAGTATGCTCAGCATACTGTATTCAATAAATAGTGTCAGTTCTTACTGTTTAGGTACCATATTTGCAGAGAGATCACAGAATACACAGGACAGAGAAACAATGTTGAGAATCTTGAAAGAGAATGTTTGGCAATGGGAAGGGAGGCAGAAACACTAACTACAGAAGGATTATCAGCAAACACCCAAAATCCACTCAGGATGAGCCAAGTATAAAACCTGTATCAACTGTGTCTTAAGGGTAGACTACTGCAAAAGAGAACTAAAGGTGAATAGCTTCCTTAGCAGTATGACTCTGCTACTCTTCTCTCCAAGGAATACAACTACTTCTTGAATCTGGGTTGGCTTTGAAGATATGCTTTCATAAAGCTATCAAAGAAATGACAATGAGAGGTATCCACTCTCACCCTCTTGGAACCCTGAGACCAGCATGTGAAGCAGCCTAGGCTGGAAGATGAGAGATCACATGAAAAGAAAATCTATCTCAATATACTAATCATGTCGCACACTTTAAACACTTTACAATTTTATTTGCCAATTACACCTCAATAAGGGGGGGGAGGAGAGGATTTGGGGGAGAGAATAAACCACACACATACAGAAAAGTCATCCCAGCTGAGGTCCCTGACATATAACTGAGGTCATCTCTTACTCCATCCTGTCTTGCCAACCTTCCAGCTGACTGGATCCAAGTGTGTGAGTAGAGACCAGCAGAAACCAAAGTGGCAATTCACAGAATATAGAGCAAGTAAAATGGGTGGTTATTTTGAGTCACTTTTAGAGTGCTCTGTTAGAATACAATATACATATTCTGTTTGAAAAACAAATACATCAACACAAACTTAGTAGCTTGTTAAGCAGAAAAAGGTAAAACTCAAGGTATTTTTTTTTTCCCAGTGTAAGCTGAAAGTATTCTGGTTTGCACATTTAATATCTAGAGCTTAATCATTTGGGGGTGTAGTAAAGAAGTCAAATATGTGGGCAGACATGAAAGGACCTAGGCAGCCAGCTTTAATGCCAAGCAATGCCCCTATGCTCTTGGGGTATATTTCTGAAAATTTCAACAAATAGTATGAAAAATTCCCCATAGGTAAGCACCATGTGATAATAAGAATATAAACTCTAGATTGGTGAGCAATAATTCTAGTGTTACTAACTGCTAGATATGTGAATTTGGACATTGATCTTAGATTCACTCTTCCTACGCCAACACCAGCTTCCTAGTCCATAAAAGAGGGCTGCTGAAAGGAATGAATTAACACGTGAAGAACTGATGAACAATGAAAACAGGATGCCTTATGAACTAGTTAAACCCCTTTCACTGGATAGCCAGGTTGGCATATAAGCTAGTCTGTCATTGATTTTGGAAGAGAGCACTATATTTTGTATGAAAAGTTTAAGTCACTCAAACATAGGAAATATATTCCTATCCCAAGGGTCTAAATGCTTGAGTGATTTTATTTAGAAGTTATTGGGTAATAAAACAAATCACTTTCCTATTCCACAAATCTACAGACGCTGGTATTAGGACTTGACTATTCCATTTTTTGAATAATCCACTGCCAAATAGAAGAGAATCGTTGTGAGCTAGCCAAATTACAAATAAACTTTTATCTAATTTAAGAGACCAAATTATACATTTTAGCTATATGTTTGCTTATAGTTGCTGTGCCATTTTTAATGTGTCTCCTTTACTTATGAAAGCAGGTCAAACAAGAGTTAGCAATTAGTTAAAAAGAATATAGTTCAAACAAACAAAATAAAGGAGTATGTATCATATAATCACTAAGAATCCATCTTGGTCATAGTCCTCTTATCAAAGAATTCAAGGTCTTGGAAAAGAAAACGTGAGGCAACAAAGACATTGCACGATTGCAATAATAGCAGATGTTACACTACATAAAATGGAGGGGGTGATACTGCTCTCTAGAAGGACAAAGGAGGAAGTGTTAGGCTATAACATCAAATAAGATAGAGACAGAAAACTATTTAGCAATTAAAAGGTCACTGGTAACCTAAATAACCAGAGTGAGAAACAGAAGTTACTTTGCATTGTGTTGGGAAGGTAGAAAATCTGAGACTGGTTAGAGAAAGTTATATTCGAGAAATCAAAAACCTGAGCAAATAGGTGAGCATAGCATTCTTCAGACTAATACAATGCACTTAAAGAATCTTCAAACAATCAGTGATTTAAGGAATGAGTGAAAACAGAGGTTTCCTTAACGGTTTTGTCCAGACTATGCCAAAGGTCAGATAACCATAATACTGCAGACCACTATATACCATCTGCCACAAATTAATTTTTGGAGAGATTTCTCTTGTAATCATCTAAAAGAAAAGGTAAACAATCCAAAATTTAACAAATTAAGAGGGCAGTCTTCCGATTTTGAAAATTCAAAGTCATGAAGATTATTGCCTAAGAACACTGATTGCTCTGTTTTATTCAAAGTAAATGATTAAATATCTTTGCTTCCATTCCAATTGCCTTCCCAAATGCTTGTAATTTCCCAAAACCCAAACACTTCAGCACAGAGAAAACAAAAACCAATAACTTAAGAATACATTTAAGATTGCAAAGGAGGTAGTTCCTTATTATGAATGGAAAGTGGGCAGGCCTGAAATACCAAAAATCTCATTACTGCATTTCAGATTTCTCCATAAGACTAATTCATCAAGAACAGTATACTGAAAGTATTTAATTTAAAAAGGATAACAGACATATTCATTCTTCCTTCTAAAGTGAGAAGAGCCTCCTCTTAAAAAGATAAAGATTATTATCAACGGAGAAAAGTTTGAAATTTAGGCTTATTTCCTATTTTGCTGGCATTTTATAAATTTTTTTTAATTCGGAATTATTACCAAGGATTTTAACTTGAAAAAAATAAGATATCATTCTGGTCATGTTACCTAATCCAATTCACTTAAGCAGTTAGAGGAGTGAACTTTATTTGAGTAACAAAACAAGTCTGTACAAGAGCAGGTAAGATGTGCACTCCTATTTAAAAGTACTGTCTGCTAAAAAACTTCTCTAGATAAAACATGTTTACGTGTAACTTTCTGTGGAGAGGAAGAAAAAGAAGTCATACTTAAAATACAAGCTCCAAGGAAAATGACTCTTCGAACTTCACAACTCATTTCTCAGACAGGTGCACAGTTTGCCCAAAAACCCTCCCACCCTCAAACCCCTGCTCAGAAAAAGGTGCCTTCTACACAATTTGGGCGCTGTAACACTTGGTTTGTAAGCCACAAAGGGATTTCTTGTAAGAGGAGCGAATAAGGCAAAAGAAAGAGGAAGATCTGGTTGTTTCAATGATGGATCAACTGAGGTTCTCACTTGGCGATCCTGTTTAAACACACACCTCTAAAAACACCCCGTTGTTTGGTGTCACAGGTGAAGGGGATCTCTTGGGATAAACCAGGCGAGGGACTGAAAATGTAAGGGTTGCAACTGCACAAGCAGCAGCTCCGGATTCTTATCAAAACAATAGCGAGTGGCACATGTCAGGCGGCCCACATGCGCGGGGGGATAAAGAGGAGACTGGCGGAGGTTGGAGTTGAACTTGCCTTAACCCCCTCCCCCAACTCCCTCACCGCCCTCCAGCTACGCGAAAGTGAAAATCAGGGGTGCCTAGCGCTCCGGTCTCCCCCCTCCTTCTATACCGTTTCTCCCCACGCCTTCCCGCCCCCGCCCCGCCCCGCCCCACCCCGGCTCGGCCCCGACTTCTTCCTCACCCGGTCTCCCGGGGGCGGAGACGCCGAGTTCCCCGGGGCCGGGAGTTAGTCACCAAGAGGCGGTGACAGAGCGCACGGCTCGCGTCGCACACTCCGAGGCCTAACCGTGCGGGACAGGAGGCCGCCGGAGGAGCCTCGGGTGTCCCGGGCGCCCGACGCCGCCCGCCGCGAAGTCCCCTCGTTCCCCGAATCTCAACTTCGCCCCCTCCCGCCCCTACCCTAAGCCGCCCCAACGTCAGGCTCAACTCTCCACCGAGAAAACGACGCCGGCGCGGCCGTTTCCTGCCCCCGGGGGCGGGGATTCCCTCCTCGGGCAGGGGGACCGCGGCCCCGCGCCGCTGACCCCAGAGGGGATCCCCCTCGGCCGCCGGCGGGGATCCCGGAACTGGCCCCGGAGCGCGCGTGTGGCCGCGGCGGGGAGGGGCGAGGCAGGGAGTTTCCGCCGCCCCGGCGGGCGGCAGCCACGACTAGCAGCGGTCCCCACCGCCGGCGGGGACCCCCAAGCTCCTCAGCCCCGGCCCGCTCGCCCCACGCGCGCCGCGGCCGACAGGGCCGCCCCGGGGCCCGGCGCGGCCACCGGGTCGGCGGGGGGCGGGGGGAGAGGGGCTGAGAAACGCGGGACCGCGGCCACCCGTCACTTTCAAGTCGCCCCGCCAGGCGCCCGGGGTGAGAAAAAGGAGAGACAAAAGGGCGCTGGGGAGGGAGTCCCCACAACCTCTCGCACCCCCCCGCGCCGGCCCGGCCCTTACTCGTAGTGGCGGAAGATCTCGTTGGTGACTTTACAGTAGAAAACTTCCTCGTCGGGCCGCAGGTCCGCGGGCGGCTTCTGTCTCACAAACGGCTTTCGGTGTAGCAGAGGCATCTCCCGGCCGCCCGCGGGCTCGCCCCGACCCGCGGCCGCCCGCGCCGGCTCCGCTTCCCTGTATCAAAATTGGAGGGAAAGGAAAGCCGGTAAGGTGGGGAGCGCCGGGCGGCGGCGTGGGCCGGTCCGCGCGCCGGGGCGAGCTCGACCGCCTTTTGTGTGACTGACGCGCCGCGACCGCCTCGGGGCCGAGGGCGCTCCAGCCGCCGCCGGGGGTGTCGAACGCGCGGAGCCGCAGCCGCCCCAGCCCTCCCGGCGCGCCCCACCTCCGCACGCCCGGCCGCCGGCTCACAATGGGGCCGGACGCCCAGCAGCCGGCGGGCGGTGCGGGAGCGGCGCGGCCCCCTCCCCCCGCGCCGACTCCGGCCCGCCGCCGCCGCCGCGGCCGGGCTCACAACGTGCTCGGCGCGCAGCCGGCCGGCCCCACGCCGCGAGGGCGCTCGCCGCGGGCGGACCCCGGCGCCGCTCCGCTTTGTTCCCCCGCTCGCCCCCACGGCCCCGCGGGCGCCGGCCGGCTTCCGAGCGGCCACCCGGAGCCCCTCACCTGCGAGCACGCCGGCCGCCGCTTCGCCGCCGCCTCAGCTCCGCAGCAGCGAGGGGGACGCTCCGTGCTCCCCGGGGGTCGCCTCTCGCCGGCCCCTCCGCGCCTCCGGCGGCCGCTGCTCCCGCTGCCACGGCCTGGCTCCGCGCGGGGGGACGCGTCCCGCCGCCACTTCCCCGCCTCTCCGCGCTCCTGGGAAGTTTCTGAGCTACTTTCGGCTCCGAAGGAGGAAGAGCAGTTGGGAGGAGCTTTTCACTTCTCGCTTCTACCTTTTTATTGGCTGCTCGATGACTTTTACAGCCTGTCACTGATACAGGAAGAGACGGCGGAGAGCCTGGGAGAGCTACATTATTAATTAATGGAGCAACCCCTTGTGAAGAATCAGAAGCATCCTCCATGTTTGAGATTATCAGCCCCAAGATCTCGGGGAAGCGCAGGGGGTGCAGAAGCGTGTGGCTCGCCAAGTAAAGCCTTCGTCTTCGCTGGTATCAGCGCTCGGTTGCACGATGGGGAAAGGATTCCTATTGCGATGTAACTTGTACTTTAAAGATGGGAAGAGGAACGAGAAATAAAAAAGTGTTTCGATATTTTCGCCTTCGGAATTAGAATTGTCTTGTGCGAAACATTTAGCTTCTGTAAACATCCATCTTGAAAGTACCTTTCTTGACAGCGGTTCCCTTGAATACTCAGAGAGGGGCAATTCAGAAAAAGACCCAAAAAGTGTTTTCTGTGTTAGAGAATTTATCGTGCCAATAGGACCCCCAGCTTTTAAAGCTAAAAGCATACTTTTAAAAAGTAATATTTGAGATACACCTCAAAGTATTTTGCAAAGGGTCAATATTTAATTCAATCACCCAGAATTTTAGATTATGAATTTACGAGTGAAATTTCCTCCTCCTAAAGCAACTTTCCCAGAGTTACAATGTCCATTTGCGGAGCTTATTTTAATGCGTGTAATACATGTGACTTTGGAAGTGAAAAAAAATTTCGAAACTATATGTAACTCAGATGTACCCAGCTTTAAGTGGCCTTTTTTGCTACTGCCTTTGAAATTTGCTTATTTGCAGATTAGCATGTAAGAATGATCTGAAAGACAATTTGAAGAACATTTGAAGAACAATCGTTGAACAAAGGACTCATTACCAATACGTGAAAAAATAGTTATAGGAACACTGTGGGATCATGTTTATACTTTGAAATTAAGTATACGTTTACAATGGACCAGAAAGATGTAAGGAATCTATCCAAAACCCCTTAAGTTACCATTTTCTAACTTCTAAGGATGCTTTTATTGCAGCAAGCAAAATAAAATTTTGTGAAAGGGGCAATATTCTTTTGAGTGTTTCAAGAATCTTTAATAAATTCATGCACCTTACTATACAAATACAGAAGAGGCTTGGAAATGATCCCAGGAGCAAGAATATTCTTTAACCTGAATAAACTTTTCAAAAAAATTATGTCCTCAAAGCTTTGGTACTTTAAGTTGACCTCTAACTAGTACACTGGGTGGCAATATAGAATTCCCTACCTAGGAAATACTAATTTTCCAGGTGAAAAATTTGGAGTTCACAAAGGTATTAAAAGGGAAATAAGGAGGGTAGATAATTTTTAAACAGTATTGAAGCATCGCTCACAATTCAAAACCTCACTGTAACTGTTAAGCGAAAAACAGGTGGAATTCTCTCTGAACATACAGGGTTTCTATTTCTTAGTTCTCACTATTTGATAAACTTAAAATTCTTTTGTTAAATTATCAAAATTAATTCTGATTTTATTATTAAACGTTTTAAACAATGGGATTCTTTTTTAAACTTAAAATGGAAATTTCTATTTCATCAAAATACTATCATACTCAGTTTCTTCAATGTACTCAATTTGAGTACTACTATACTCATATTTCAGTACCATTATTACTCAATTTTGAATTACATAAATAAGTTATTTTAATGATTTGTGGTATTTATTAAATGTTACTCAGTTATTGATTGTTAATTCAGAATAAGTGTTAATAAACTATAATTAACATCTCAAAAATTTCATTTTGATGTGTTTATAACATTTGATCAAGTTCATAGCATACCTAAACTACCTGACAAAATAACACTTCTCTTAAAGTTATCCTACCCATAAACTACTAAAAGATACTCTAGTATATTATTCTATGCTTAGCCTTCACGATTACTTCCTTTATTAATTACCACCTCTAGTTATTGAGAGTGGAAATCTCATTGCTATGTTCAGAAGTAAAGGATGCTGTCATAAAATAGGACTTTATTTTTAAAAATTGGAAATATTGAAAAAGGAACTATGAAAGTTTTAAAGTATATTGGGAAAGGTAGGGGAAACAACAAAATAGAAATTATTTAATTTTTTAAACAATTTTATTCATTTAAACATTTATCAAACTTTTTTTATGTGCTGAGACACTATACTAATTCATGGAAAGCATTTGATATAATATACCCTAGCCTCAAAAGATGTATAATATTATTGGGGAGAGATGATGTAAAGACAACGCAAGATTATTTATGTGAGTTATGTGAGTCCTAATGATAACAGAAGGAGAAAATATTACGAGAAAATGTAGAAGAGAGTCCAAATTGGCCCAAATTAAAATCAACCATAGAACATGATTTGAAGGGTAGTGTTCCAACATAACAGTCACCAGTTTCAAGACACAACTCCCCACCCCCCTTTAGTCATCCCTCTAGATGAAAACATCAAGGGCCCCCAGTTAAAAGTAAAGTAAATATACTAGTTAGGCAGGACATATTAATCAAATATTACCAAGGCTTAATTTAATAAAAAAAACCCTCAATTTTGAGATGGTATACTACTGCTTTAGATAAGTAAAGACAAAACAAGACTATGAAATACATATTTTAAAAGTTTAAGCTAGAATAATTTTGTTGACTTTTATTGATTAAGAAAGGCTTTAGTTAGGTGATTTGATGAGACAGTAGTTACTGAGCCCTGAAAGGAATCTTTGGGGACTCTTATTATTGTGCAGCTAAGGAAATTGAAGATCAGGAACTGGAGTCTAAGTCTCCTGACTCTTTGTTCAGACTTTTTATACAGCATTGATCTTTATTTGGACTTGGTAATATTTAGTTATCTGTATAACCTACTCATACTATATAAATGAGCTAAATACCATTCCAAATCCTTCCTAAATTGCTAAAATGCATAAAGGGACGAACAATATTATTCATGATCAGAAATAATACACTATTTTTAGAATTATCCAAGAAAGCAATGGGAGAATAAGAACCTTAAGTTTATCCAATTGAACAATTGAGTCTTTTTTTTTTTTTAAAGAGGCACGTATTTTATTTATTTATTTGTTTGTTTGTTTATACATGCACTGGGTACAGTCAGAAGCGCGGGAGGGCGAGAGAATTCACCAGAGCCAGAGCGGGGAGCAGAGCAGGCAGAAGGACCGAAGCACACTGCTGAGGGGAGCAGCGGGCGGCAGGAGAGTCAGCGCCATGTGGGACCCTCCTCCGGTGGCCGGGGAGCAGCCGGGGATCGAACCGGCGCCGCAGAGGCCGCGGGGGAGCTTCGCAACCCAGCGCTCAACCGCTGGGCCACCGGGGAGGCCCTGAACAATTGAGTCTTATCTCGAAATATAAATCATTTCATGTCCCTTACCTCCAAGTAGCAGTTACTGAAGTATTTAGAAAAATGGGTGGAGTAAAAAAGTATAAACTTTTAGCTACAAAATAAGTGTATCATTAATAATAATACAGTTGTATTTTATGTTTGAAAGTTTCTAAAAGTGCAGCTCTTAAAAGCCATCCTCTCTAGAAAATATTTTTAACTGAATTTGGTGATGAGCATTAACTAGATTTGTGGTGATCATTTCACAATATAAACAAATACCAAATCATTACATTGTACACCTAAAAACAAATGTTATATGTCAATTATGTTTAATTTTTAAAAGTATTTAGAGTATCGCTGCCCTGAGCTTTCTGAGAAAGATACCTTACATATGTATACGCAAAGAATATCTTCAGCTCCTTACTCTTCATCATATCTGTGACACCTGTCTTCTGTGATACAACTCTTCTATGTTCTTTTTTAATGTCTTCCTACCTAACTTGTGGCATATACAAGATTTCTACATATTCTTTAGAAGCACTAAATATGTTTCCCTCATATCTGAAAACACTGGTGTAGTGTTAGGGTAGTGGCTCTAGACCTTGACTGCCTCTTAGAATCATCAGAGGGATTTTGAAAAATACTGGTGCTTGGGCCATACCTCTGACCAATGAAAACAATATTGGGGTAAGAACACAGGTTTGGAGTTTAAAAATCTGCTCAGGCGATTTTAATGTACTGCCAGGGTTGCCAACTGCTATTCTTAGAGATTGGATGGTTAATGTTGAAATGATAGTGAATTTGGATTTTTTAAATTAATCCTTTGTGATTAAAGTCATGAATTATGGGATGGTAGTAGGGGTTAATAGTCTGTGACCCCCAGATAACAGAATAGTGGTTACCAGAGGAAAGAGGGGCAAAGTAAGGGTTAAGGGGGACTGGATTTGTTGATGGTGGATGATGTTTGTACATTTGGTGGTGGGTGTGGTGTGATACATACAATAGCTGAGGTGAGAAATTGTATACCTGAAACCTATACAATGTTGTAAACTAATGTTACCTGAATGATAAGGGGGGGGGCATATACCCCTCCTGAAAAGAATCATCATTAGTACAGTAACAGTTTACATTTAATGCATGCTTCCAGGTTGTCAAGCATTGTGCTAGGGTTTTAAATGAATCATGTCATGTAATTCTCACAACAAACTATTATTTATCATTATATTTTACAGATGACGCTGTTGAGGCTAAGAGAGTTTAATTAAATAGCCTGCCCAAGGTAGAACATCCCAGAAGGAGAAAAGTCCAAATTCTAGTTTTATCAACTCCAGAGTCCAAGCTACTTGCTGCTAATATATTCTGTATTTCCACAAGTTGACTTGCTAATCTAGCTCAGGTGTAAACTGAAACAGGGAATTGATCTCATGCACTAAACACTTTAGAACTTGTAATGATTAAGAATGTTTGTTAATAATAAAAATACTAGGAAACACCATGA